TGAAGGATTGGGAGGAGTTTCTCAACAAGCTCCTTGGTGTCGCCGTGATGCCCAACACTTCTGATTGCATGGTGACCCACCACAATCTTCCATGTCGCCGTCGACTGACTTAGTGCAGTGTCTACATCCCTGAGAAGGTTGGCAATGTACTTCTTTCTTGGAAGAACACCTCTCCAATCGTAGATGTGATCTTTTGGGTCATAAAAGTACATGTCCACAAATGGATTTGTGTCCACAAAGAAGAATTCCGCAATTTCTAGCCAAGAAAGCAAAAGAAATTCAGCTTTTATTCTTTTTGAGCTGCATCAAATTTAAAGGAAATTGATTTTTTTTTCCTTCAAATCATACCTGCATTGACAACAAAAGATCTCAAGCACAGCCATCTGCTATCTATCTGCCTTAGGACAGGGCTCAGTTGCGCCTTCACATTACCTCTGTAATCATGGTTTCCCAAAACTGTAGAAGAAAATAACTCAATTAATTCAACTCTGATAATAACAAAAAGAAGAATAAGAAGAAGGAAAGGAAGAAACGAAAATTGATCTTACCACTGTACCACTGCTTTTGCAAACTCTTAGCAGTGTAGACCTTGGTAAATGATTCCTCGAAGTTAGGATCGTTTTCGCCCGTCAAGCCGTTGTCATAAAAATTATCACCAACGGAGATCACGAAATTAATATTTAGTTTCTCCCCAACCCTTCCCATCTGCAACAAATAATTTTCCAGGAGCAGAATGAAGATCAAATGCGGATTCTTATTGAAATATAAACATTTTTGGTATTTAATTTACGCGTCACGGATTGAATAGAATGCAAGAAAAAGTGAAGGAAAAGAATGGAGAATGTCTGAAATCAAAATAAATTAACAAGAAAACATCCAACACATGAGTTATTATTTGTAATTCAATTTGCAGAGAAAATCTGAACATATCGACCCAGAAAGAATTGAAGAAAGGGTACAATATGGTATGCAAGTAAAGATGTTTGTTTATAGGACCTGAACGGCAACTTCAGACTGGTTGTAAGTTCCTCTTCTTCCCCAGTCTCCGATGACCAAGAAGCTTAGTGACCCATCATCATTTGCGGGATGGTCGAATCTTTGAAGCTCTGCAACAGACGAGACCACCAAGCACATGGTCATAACAAAGCACAGAGCCATGGATTTGATACTCGAATGGGCCGCCATGGCTCTGTGAGGACGAGGACGAGGAGGATAAAAAGAAAAAAAGAAAAAAACAAAGATAGGATTCAAAATAAGAAGGGTAGAGACGTAGATGGTTAAAAGAGAGAAAGAGAGATGAGGAAATTGGAATGAATGTAGAAGGGATTTATAGATGAAGCGTGATCCTATAATTAAACAAAGAGCAGAAGGATTCGGTGTAGATTGTTTCTTCACCACGAATTGAATTGAACTAATCACCTACTTCAGTTTCCTTAAAACGAAAAAGTCTACAACTCTACATATTGTGTTCAATTTAAGACAGTTTCAACCCGGGCAAGCGGTATATGGAGTATGGACTTTAATAGCAGGTTTCAGTTTTTCTAGGTGGTAAGGATCTTTGATATGATTCCATATGGCAGCAAATTTCCAGTTTCCCATATGCTAGGTGATTAGGTTCCCATTTCAACTAAGTGTTTTCGCTATGTCTATGAGGTGGCAACCCAAAGCGGATTCTATGTCACATTCTTACTTATTTTTCTTTTAATTTTGAAATTACGTACTCTTGACATGTAAAGACTAAAATGACCCTGTTTAAGAAAAGAAAGGTCCATTGATCTCTCCCGCTCTCCTCTTTCTTTGTCTCTCCCACTCTTAATTCTCTTTCTGCAAATTTATTCCAGAAATTTCTTCTCCTCTCTCTCTCCCTCCCTCTCTTTCTAAATCTCTTGCTCTCACTCTGTCCCGCTCTTCCTCTGTCTCACTCTCCCTCTCATGCAACTTTGATGTCGTGCTCTAAGCATTTTCCTATTATTAAAAACCCTTCCAGAAGCAACCTGTCTACTTACGGTTTATGTTGTTGTAACGTTAGACCAGGACAAGAGCATTAAAACAAATGAAATGGGTTCTATTAAAGGCAGGCTCTCCAAATCTGAGGTAGGTAAGCTAAGACCTTAAGTAGTCCTGAACCTACTCTTCCCTTTTCTTTCACAATAAATGATTCGGGTTTATCTGAAGCAACTACAAGTCTGCAACCAAACCAAGCAAAGGAAAAATGTATTTTTCCACATTCCAAGCAATTGGCTTTATCTCAAATCTGTGAAAATGTTAGTATGTTGGCCATAAAACGAACTGGGTTTTGTCTCAAAGCAAGGAAAAAAATCGGTTCTTCATCTTGTCCACATTGAAAAGTTACGACTCTTTATGATTATAGGGCAAGGAATGAGATGATTAAGTTTAGTTATAATTGTTGGTAAGGATATTTTGAATCATCATCTCAAAATATGCAGATGGTTGAGTTTAATTTTGGTTTCAGTTGGAAAATCGGACTTTTATCAATATCTCAAATCCATCTTGGTAAATTGTTACCATGTTGGGATTTAATGCATATAAAGCTAATATAGAAGAGCCGGAACAAAACAATTGACATTATTATATAATGTTAAATGTGAAAGTCAAATGAGGCTTATCATGTTTTCACCAATGAATTTAATTAATGTTTCAAATTTATCTTGATAAATTTATGGGGAAAGTCCCGATACTTTAAGCTGAGTGTCAATTTATTAGTATCCTAATTTTAAAATGCGACAATCTAATATCTAAATTTTCATTTTGCAACAATCTAATACCTACCGTTAATGAACCATCAGTTATGTATATCACGTGACCTCATGTACTAATTAAGACTTAAAATATTAAAATTACCCTTAAACACTGTTCATCAACTTCTTTCTCAAGAAAATGAAACAAATCTCCTGATGATCCGAAAACTCGAGAAAGTCTTGGTGCTGTTCAGAGTTGTAACCGACTCCTCATTGTTCAAAGTCCTGTCGAGAAGAACGAAGTTGAAGGAAGCAAAAGGAAAGATAATAGATAGGTTCGACAAAGGAGAAGAGAACGACACGACATGACCCGTTTCGTTCGGTAGCTGTGAACCTGTTATCAGTTTTCAGAATTAACGGAAGAAAGCAGAAGAGATGTTTCTCTTCTTTGCAGACGCTGCATCAACTGCGGCTTGGTGACGGATTTGTTGGAGTAAGAGAAGGTCCTAAAGGTATTCTTTGTTCCGGTGTGGTGTTGGCCTGGTAAAGAGCCAGCCATGTACTGCAACTGCTGCTCCCTCTTCTTCCCTCAATCCTTCTCCCTCTCTCCCCATCCTTCCTCGACTTCTCCTCCGTCCCTCTCCGATGTTCTTCGATGCCATTCTTGCTCTTGCATTGTTGAACCCGAGTTCAGCTTCTGCCCCTTGTGCGGTTCAGCTCTGTAATCTTTTATCTCAAGTGGGGTTTTCAATTTGATTAGAAAAAACAAGAAATTTTTTTTCTTAACTTGCTCTGCCCCCTACTTTGTTTTACTTGTAGTTGGAGTTTCTTTTCCATCATTTGCCTTTTACAGGGAGGAAACAAATCTTTGGATTATGAGTCTTTCATGGGTTGTTTCAGATTCATGTAAATTTGGCTTTTGTTTTGCCTTTTACCATGTAATAAGAATAGAGTTGTTTTACTCCTGAGGTTTTGAGTTCATTAGGCTGTCTCCTATGTGTTCTAATTCGATCCATTGTTCTCTTACTGATCATATTTGTAGAATGGAAACTGAACTATATCAATATGCTTCGATGAAGTTCAAAGACTAAGCATTAATCCAACCATCCAATTGATTGACAGTTTGACACCAAGAAGGAAATGACTACAGATTTTCTCAACGTGTGTCATTTTTGTTGTTTAGTTATACTTTACTCACCTTCGAAAATTTAACTTCAATGCCCTAACAGTCAACATAGTAAAAATTAACCAATATGGCCTAAGAGAAAGATTTTAAGAATTAAGGACATGTGACAATTACCACTCCTGTTGTAAATTGTCACAAAGAATCAGAGAAACATCGCAATGTTTTTTGTTGTCCTTTTCACCTTCTAAAATTGGACTTTAATGTCCTAATTGTTAAATGGAAAAAAAATTTACTAAAATAGACTAAAAGAAAGATTTTAAGGATGAGAATATGTAGCAGCTACCATTCACTAAATCATGTGACAAGGAATCAAAGAAAATGCAATTAATACATCACAATGTTAATTATGCCTTCATCTTTTCAAATTGGACTTCAGTTCTCTAATTACCAACCTAATAAAGATTCACCAAGATAAATTTATGAGACTAATTTGAAGAAGGAAAAAATTTTTAAACTACCCCTGTTATTTAGCTAATTGATTAATTATACCTTTACTATTTAATTATTGTCTTACACCATTCTTACTATTTCTAGCAATTGTTGTTGCTGTTAAATTCTAATGAAAATGATGAAAAGTCTATTTTACCTTCCATTATTCTTCAAAATTTTAAAATAATCAAAGAAATAAAAGATTTTAAGAACTGGAACTCAGAATACCAGCAGCGGAGTGGTTGGTCGCCGCCACTAGGATCGGAGTTCATAACTATTTGCCACCTTCACCAAGTTTCATATTAGACTGGAGAATGAGTCGGGGATTTGCTTTTCCCCTTGGCAGAACTAATGAAGAATGGGGAAACAACTCCTTGCATAGACAAATGGTGAGCAGCTTACTTGTGGGTTCATCAAGACTCCTCACGACTAGGACCTTTTCGAGCCTTGTCATAAGATTTGGGGTGAGGAACCGGTGGTGATTCCATTGAGAAGGAGCCACCAAATGTTGTTAGAGGGCAAAGTCCAACACCCTATACAGAAAGCCCCATAACGGAGAAACAAAAAATCCAAACATGGGTTTCCCAGATCATCGACGTCACAGAAGGAGCCACCAAATTTTGTTTAAGTGCTTCTACCGTTATTAGACATTCTGAATAACAAGGTGAAAGCCGAAAGAAATAGGTCATCGAGGGTTTGCAACAAGGAACACTTGGCTACTAGGAGAAGGGGGCGGAGGAAGAAGAAGATCACCGCCGTTGCTCGAATTTGCAACAACAGGGTGACTTTGATCCACTCTCCCTTTTATTATAACATCGACCAGTTAGGTGTTCTTCCTCATTTGCTTCAACCTCTCTATCGCCAGCCCGAACGTCAACTTGTGGCACCTCCATTGGTACTTGAATTCAGTGATGCAATAGAGGGTCTATCTAAGCCATGGAGACAGAGAAGATGCGGTGGGCAAGCGTGACGAGCCCTATCGGGACCCAGCATTGTTGATGCCAAAATTAGAGGCGGGGTGACTAGTCCTGGTGGCGAACACTAGACTAAGGAAGATGAAGAAGAATTGGAATATCTTCCAAAGCTCCTTCTTTTGAAGATCAAAGGTGGTTTGCTTCTTCTCTAGGGTTTATTCAAAGTAGAGCTGCACTTTATTAATTGCAAATGCTTCTACAAATGCTGGTAGGCTTCGACGGCCATGATCCTCGTCTGAGTTCCAACATCTTTGTGTCGGCATAACAGAGGAGTTTTTTACTATATAAATGGGTAAGATAAAGAAGAAAAAGAAGAGCTTCCAAATCTCCTTCTTTTGCATAGTAACTACCCATTTCTTCTCCAGGGTTTTCTCAAAGTGGAGCACACTTTATCATTTGCTGATGCTTCTGCAAATGCAGGTGGCTCAGGGGATGTGGATATTTAGAAATGGGTTTTGTTTTAGACGTACATGGAGATGGATCCGACAGAACGGAGAGGGAGGTGGAGGTGGAGGCAGAGATGGAAATGGAAATGGAGGTAGAGGCAGAGGTGGAGCTCGATTTGTAGTTGTTGAAAGGAAGAAGACGGTGAAGGAGGAGGTAGAAGGGTAATATTGGGTTTTAAATAAAAATTATATGTCACGTGGTTTGTGTGTATAGATTTTGATGGAATATTAATAAATGCTAATGACAAAGGTAAATTGTAAGAAGCAGTAAAGTGCTTCAAGATAAGATAATAGTTAAACAATAAGGGTACAATTTATCAATTAGCTAAATTATAAGGATAATTTAAGAAATTTGAGAGTGATGACACATGTCAAACATGTTTGAACTGTCATTAGAGTGCCAATTATTCTTTCATCATCACCTCAAATTTAAACTTTAATACCTTAACTGCCAACTTAATTAGTATAAATTTATCAAGATAAACTAATTAAATTCATTGGTGATGCAATTGGCATTGACATAATAATGTCAATTGTTTTGTTTCTATTCTATATTAGCTTTATATGCACTAAATCCCAAGTTGGTAACAATTTATCAAGATAGATTTGAGATATTGATAAAAACTCCATTTTTCAAGTCATCAACCGAAACAAATTGCCTTACGTGGTGAGTGAATTTGTACATCAAAAGTTTCTATTAAAGTTATTTGGGCTTTTGAAATCAAGTAGGGTGAGTAGGAGTGTAAACGAATCGAATTCGTATCGGATCAGGTAATACCCAAATTCGAATTCGATTAGAAAAACAGACATCTGAATTCGATTCGATATATGACGGATATTGAAAATTAATATCCGAATTCGAATCCGATTAAATATTCGAATATCTGATTTGATTCGAATTTGATTAATTAATTATTTTAGATAATTAATAAATATATAAAATAAATATTTTATTGATATAAAGTATATAAATATATAAATTATTTATATAGCTTAATTATTATATGTATTTTATATATTATATATAAGAATTAAATAATTGGTTGAATTCGGATATTTATCGAATCAAATCAAATCAATCGAATTCGTATCTGATTAACTATCCGATAAGAATAGAATATCTGAATTCGACCGATTAAATATTCAAATTATTCGAATTTGATTCGATTATGTCGAATATCGAATTCAAAATTGGATTTTCGAATACCGTTAACACCCCTAAGGGTGGGCTAGAATTCAGAAATCTGAAACAAGCACGTCCATTCTTTTCCAAAAAACGAAAATGTCTCTTTGTTTGCCCATCTATTAGGAGACAGATGGCAATTTAAGATAGTTTCAACCAAGAGAAGTGGTCTGTGGACATTAATAGTTAGTTTCAGGTTTTTAGGTGGTAAGGAGCTTTGATATGATTCCATGTGGCAAGTTTCCAGTTTCCCCTAGGCTAGGATCATATCATTTTAATGCCTCTTTGTTACTGTCTCAGTTCTCATTTTTTAGCATAGATCTCATGCAAGCAAGAAAAAAATGTCTCTTTGTTTGCCCATCTGTTGGGAGACAGATGGCAATTTAAGATAGTTTCAACCGGGATAAGCGGTCTATGGACATTAATAGCTGGTTTCAGGTTTTCTAGGAGGTAAGGAGTTTTGATATGATTCCATGTGGCAAATTTCCAGTTTCCCATCGGCTAGGATCTTATCATTTTAATGTCTCTTTTTTAATCTCTCAATTCTCATTTTTTTAGCCCAGGTCTCATGCAAGCAAAAAAAAAAAAAAAGTCTCTTTGTTGGGACAGTTTTATAAAGAAAATCATATTCATTAAAAATGTTTAATTTCTTAACATTATAAATAACTTAGTATTTTATTTCTATCATTTTTATTAAGTTATATTATCAAAATTTAAATTCTAAGTTATTATTTAAATAAACAAAAATCTATATATATAATAAAACTGGATGGTCCATGTTAGTATGTCTTTCCTTTAAGAGAATCTATTTATCTATTTTTTTCATTTTTTGCATTTTTTCAATGTTATTTTGTTTTAAAAATATAAAAAGGTAATCATTGTCTATTTTGAATAGATCAATAAAATTGTACACTATTAGAGAGAGAGAGAGAGAGAGACCTTTGAATTTTTCAAAACTCCTTATTTTAATACAAATCATTATTACATTTAAGAGAGAGAGAAAGAGAGAATAGTAATACAACATAATAAAGTAAAATATTAATATATCAAATAATATAAATAGGTTTAGGTTAAACAATCTAACATAAAACAACAAATAAAAAGTATTTTAAAATTTTTAATTTTTATGAGTTTAGACCTTTATTATGCATAGTGGCCATATTACACAAGAGACTTATATAAAATGGAGGACTTATTAAAAATGATATAAAAATAAAAAATTAATGAAAACTTAAAATGTAGAACCCATTTTACCACTCAGACATAGTTTTATAATTAACATGAGAAAAGCCTATAGGCCCAGACAAATATTATATTACACTTAAGGTGTAGGGAGGGCTAGGTTAGGCAACCTAAAAAATTGCTAATACACTATTGAAATTTTCATAGGGCTACAAAATGGGGGTAGCTCATCCTTCATAGCTCCTTTGGCTTCAATATTATCTAAAAATAGTTAAGAAAAGCCTATAAACAATGCATGTATGGGTTGCACTTGGTTTGGTTCAATCGAATTACAAACATTATGATGCATCCAACTTGGGTGGGTTGGGTCAGGATGAGGATCAACCCAAGCCTGATCCAAAGTCTTAAACATTAAATTTGGGCTTTGATTAATTTAATAATGCCTAAATAAGTTAACTATAGATTAATTTAATTATGAGTATAGCCTAATTCTATATATTTACTGATATTTAAGTATTTTAAGCATAAGTGACATTTACAAAAAATTGAAACACTCAATCATTAATAATGTAAAATAAATAAAATAGAACACTAACAAATAATATGGAAAAAAAATTATTTTACTATGTAATTAGCAATAAATTACTATCTTTGTTAAAAATATTAATATAATCAATCCAAATTACTAAATTAGTAAGACATTTTTATAACAAATTATTAAAATAAAGACTTAATTATTTTAAACAACATTGCATTCTTTTCTTATTTTTAAGTTTTTGATTATTTTACTTTTCTTGATAAATCCCGTGATTTTATCCCAATTAATAATTGGTTCAGAATTTATTCTACCTAAATCTGATCTAGACCCAGTCCGTTGACAACCCTACTAATAATTTACCGCAATATTGTTAAACTTAGAACATGAGGAAAATCCAAAATGCTCAGGGAATCACAATTCAATTAGTGTAATTAGACTACACCAGGGTAGGTCATTTAATTTGTATGGCATTTAACTAGGATATAAGAAGGTCATTGGATCCTCAATTGCTATCAGTATCCATATTTTCTCTTTTGTAGAAGGGGGATTGTTTGAGCCAATGAGGTCAAGCCCTCAGCACTAAAATGGCCAATAGGCTTCTACCGGGTTCATGTTTGTCGGTGGGAAACGAATTATATCTATGTGATATTGATATTACTGGTTATTAGCAAATAATTGCCAATGAAAAATGAACACGTCACCAATGTTAAGAATTCAAAATTTAACCAAATGAATGCATTTGACTAGATGGTTTTTAAGCAAATTAATACAGTGCAAAGCCTTGTATTTTGTATTTCTAAACCTTTGCAATCTACATATTTGTATTTATATTCTTCCACAATTAAGCCTTAAATGCAATTTAATTTGTTTTTGAGTTGCATGCTAAGTTGCTAATCCACCCTGATGTCATTGGTTTTGTCTTGGTAAGAGATAAACCAGAACCAAAACTGCATCTTCTACGATTGTGACAACTTACGTGAGACTACAAAAATTAGACGGATTTGATGAAGTGTTTCGCCTTTGAAGAGATATTCCTATTTTTGGTGGAGTAGAGTTCCATGTACTACCGAAACTCAAATCAATTAAAAAGAAAAGAACTAAATTTTCCCGGTATTCCATGCCAATTGTAGATAGGGGTGGGCAGAAAAAAAAAAAAACCAAAAAACCAAACTGACTGAAACTGAATTAATCGGTATACATATATTTTTATATATTTTATGTATATTTATTTATATTATATATTTTATATTTTTTATACATTATAAATTAACAAATATGCATTATATATAAATATAAATTTATAATATATAATATTTTATTTATTATTTAAAATATAATATTTTATATATTTCTAATGTTTTATTATATATTATATATTTTCTATAACATGTATTGTAAATATTAAAAAACTGACGAATCAAACAGATGGTTTACTGAACCAATCAACCAATTAACCAATTAGCTTCGGTTTGGTTTCGATTACCAGTATTCCAAAAACCAGTAACCTTGGTTTGATTTAAAAAATAAGCCCAAGGTTTGATTAATTGAACCATGAACACCCCTATTCAAATATTTCTTTCTTTTGACTTTCATATGTTAAAGAAGAATTATGGTTTTCTAGGCTGTATTAGAAATGAACTCTTAATTAGCATTTAATATAATGAAACAAGTTTGAGAGATTCTTTTTTCATCTTCTACTTTGGCAGTATTTGGCATTCGTTATTTTAAGTGCTTATCTTTATTGTAGAATTTTCGCTTTATTGGTCTGTGATTGTTGCATGCCTATAGAGTGCAAAATGAAAAATGGGAAGAGGGAAATGCTACTGCTGAGATGTACGTAAACGTAAAATGCAACTTTGTGATTTTTAGCTTGTTAAGAGAGTACAGGTGTTGAGTCTTTGAAAGAAGTGTGCTATGTTGAAAAGTTAAAGTATTTACTAAATACCAAAAAAGAGTTTGAGAAGACTGTATAACTATAAAAATCTTGGATTTCTCTCTTTCTCTTACATTATAAAATCGGCAATAGAGAATAGAAATGCCCCAGAAATAATATGTACAAGGAATTAATAAAACTGTGGAAGATCCATCCACAAAGCCCCATCAGCTAACCTAACTTGCATTAATTAGCTAAACCTTTGCCATACAGTGTCTTCTTGGGACTGCATGCATATGATAACCTAAATGGCCGAGTAGAGTTGCTTGGACCCAGTCCATCTGTGCAACACATAGCCATTAACATCATAGAACAGAATCTCAGCGCTGGTTTGAGTCAACTGCACAGA